CTTCTCCACCCAGCATGCATACACTGCCCTCCTGGCGCGGCCAGATAACGACCTCATGGCTCCTCTCATTTGTAGTACCAAGGTTCCTCGGAACCTCAAAGTCTTCGACTGGCTCCTCTTCAAAGACCGCCTCAACACCAGGGTCAACCTTGCACACAAACATATACTAGATTCAGACATATGCCCTCGGTGCACTGGGCTACCCGAAGATTCCAGCCACCTCTTCGTCGCATGTCCTCTTGCCAAAAGGATTTGGCAACGGTTGGGGTTCCTGCCACAAACCAACAACATCACAGATCTATGGGACGTCCCTACTCCCCCTCACCTCCCGACCACGACATGGCCTTCGGTCCTCTTGGCCTTACTATGGATGATATGGACAGCACGCAATGACATGGTATTTAGAACGATCGATCAAAGCTCTGTAATAACCCTAAGGAGCCTTATTTCTGCTCTCGACCTATGGTCTCATCGTCTTGTACACACACAAGACAAGGAGGACGTCTTCTCGTGGCGTTCGTACCTCTCTGCACGTTGCACCGTGCCTATGTAATTCTGTACTCACTGCCACGGCAGTCCTTTGAGCAATATATTCAGGTATGAAGAGGGGTTGAGTGTGAATCTGGCTGAGCTCACTTTGGCTTAAGTGGTGTTTTGGTGGTCCTGGGCCCATTGAGGCTCCTTTCAGTAACCTACACGGCTGGAGGGAGGAGGGGCCGCGCGACCACTTCTCCTAGCCCATTGTCGCCTTTGAGTGGATAAGTATAATCTCTTTACGTTATTTTTCTAACTCACCATTGTCTAAATTAATATTTTCTATACTATTTTATTTGAAGAAACTCATTTCACGCGCATGCATGGATGCAGGTGTTGGCGACTGTGTACTGGTTGTCAGCCTCGGGGGCGTCGGGCGTCTTGATCTACGCGACCTTGCCTTGTGATGTGTCAACGAGTACGAACCTATCTATTGCAAACTTGGGTTTTCATCTGGGCTAGCTTTGTCGATGGGTGCTCTCACCGTCGAGGACGCGTTGGTCCTTCTGTACGCCTCGCTAAGGCCCAAAGGGTCCCCAATCCTTGAGCTTATAGATATAGCTAAGCAAAATCTAAAAATTCATAAAATAAAAAGCTATAGCTAAGCCAAGGGATTAGGGTCTTAATTCCCAAGCTCCCTAGGCTACTAGTTATTGCAAAGTAACATGAGTGTTATGTATGGTTAATTCCCTCTTTAGCGCATTGATAGTTTCAACTATTGCTCTCTACTATTGGTACATCTCATATGTATACAGTATGCACAGTGGCATAGACCCGGGCAAGCCCCAGGCCGAACACACATATTACAGTGCCGAACTTGGGCTTTTTCGAGAAAACGCAAATGGCTTTTGCGTTTCATTGCATTGGAAAGAAAGGGGAATTTACATCCTCCTAGGAGGTAGTTTTACACAGCCAAGAGGGCCTAGTGGACATCCCAGGATGGTGGCAAAGCAACCCTGTGCCCTTGTGCCCCGGCTACACCGTTGTGTATGCACCTCTTTTATACGTTAGCCATTGCTCCTTGCCTTGTCAAAAAGTAAAAAAGAAGAAGCCATTGCTCCTTGCGAAGTAGTGGACGACCACATTCCTGTCAAATTTATTTTTCTTTCAGAAAAAAACAAAACATGACTACTTTTGTGATCGTGTTGACTTTTGAGGTCGAGCAAGCTTTTATTCTGTTTGTTACTAAGCAAGATGACCATTACATTTACACCTATGAAGGCGTTTGGTGGACTAGATGATACACTCTGTTTTATAAAGAATCGCGTACGTACACTTGTACAGGTATATACTTTGATAATACAAACCAAACTTGTCGTCAACAATGGCTTTTCTCGGTACGGCAAAACGTATGATTGAGGTGCTCCCCGTCAGCATAAATAAGAAACAATGTAGTACTCCCTCGGTCCGGAAATACTTGTCGGAGAAATGGATAAAAAAGGATGTATCTGAAACTAAAATACGTCTAGATACATCCATTCCTCCGACAAGTATTTCTGGACGGAGGGAGTAATATGTTTCATTTTCCAAAAGGTCAATTGATCCACGTATATGCTAGCTCTTGGACTTATCTGAATCTCCCTTAGGAGTAATCTTCCTCTGTCCCAAAATTCTTGTTTAGATTTGTTGGATATATCTATACATCCAACAAATCTAAGACAAGAATTTTGGGACGGAGGGAGTACAACTTTGCAAATCTGATGGATGCTACACAACACTATTATTAATTACGGAGCTTGGGCCCACATGTCATCAAAATCACGACCAAACTAAGGCCGACCTGAAATAATAATCCCAGTGGATCAGACGATGATGGCCTGCCAAAAAGTGAGGGCAAACAGTATAATACAGGAGGCCACCCTGGTATTGTACACTTTGGCCTTTAGACAGCTGCGTATCTGCAACTGCAAGGCCTCCCACAATCACTGCTCCCTTTTTGACCGTGAGGGCTGAGGGCACTTTTGGAAACATGAGACAACATTTTATCAACTGCATTTGGTGGCAGATGGGAGGCCATGGATGAGTTCCTGTGCATAAAGCAGGGAGGTGTTTTCCATGGTAAAGTCATATTTTGACCTAACTAAAGTGTTTTCTTCAAGCAAGTATAGAGGCACTTAAAGTGTTTGCATGAATGCGATTAGGCCGGCGACATTAGTGCTGCGATACATGAGGCATAAAAGCTTCGGTGAACAGAAAAGCTTCAGCAACACACAAGCCTCAGACAGAGCAACTGGAAATGTTGCTTCGGACCAAAGCCTCTGCCTGTCCTCTGTTCTCTCAGCATGAAGAGCTCACTAATGGTCGAGTAATTGCAGATTGAGGTCACTGCTACTCCCTCTGTAAAGAAATATAAGAGCGTTTAGATCACTACTACAGTAGTGATCTAAACGCTCTTATATTTCTTTATGGAGGGAGTACTAAAGAGCAAGAACTACAGAGTTTAATCACAAGACAAAAAATGAGATGCAGGATTACTGCATCAACGCGCGGACCACCAATGCACAGAATTGCAGAACAACATTCAGATATCATTAGCGTCACCCTGGGAGGTTGCCAGCGGTGTGTGAGGTGACCACCATCGCATTGAATTGTGATTAAACTTAGCAAAGGGCAATGTTGGGTCTTTACTATCTGGAACATGAAATTTATATAGGACCTACAGAAAAAGGCTGGTCAAAATCCAAGCTCTCTTGGCTATTTTGCTGATGGCAGTTGGCACAATTGGCTACTATGTTGATGGCAAACGCGACATGATGCACTGCAGGGGACACTGGCGACAGAGGTGGTGGCACTGCTGCCGGTTGCAGCTTCTAGGAGGAGATGGACCTGGTGGAGTTCCATCGGGAGGCAGCCAACTCTTCTTGCGGGATATGTGGGATGCCCACCGGACAAAGCCGACATAGCAGCTTCAATCCTCTTGAACAAATGCAGTCTGCCCAGCGGCGTTTAGTTGGCTTGGTTTTCAGGTCAGGACATCGTCTTACGGGGCAGTCACACCCCACTTGCACCCTTAGTGATTTAGCACATTAACATTGTCTTGGGAACTGTCAGGTCTATCTGAAATGAAGAGAAATACCAATGCCATCATGTTGCGGCTCATTCAGAAGCAACTCAATGTTATGAAGAGAAGAGTGCCACGAGAGGTAACTACTGCACCTCACTCATCGCCTAGAACAGCCGATGATCAGAAACATCAGTATCCTCAGAGCTGTCTGTAGCATCTCCAGTCGCAACATCATTGGCATCAGATTCACTACTAGAATCATATTCCTCATCAGACTCGGATGTATCCATGATGTCGACATCAGAGAAAGCTTGATCCTTTCCGTGATTCATATCCTCTGTTTCCAGTGAAGAAGCTTGGCTACCATCACCATGGACCAGATCAGCATTCTGGGGTTGTGGTTTCCCATAGAGTGCAACATGCCGATAGTATAGTTCGAGCTCCTTTTCAGATACTGCAATGAAACGCCTAACTGTCTCCAGTGATTGTTCATATTTTGATTTTTCAAGTGCCTGGGATAAAAAGAAGACATGTGTCAGGGGCCATTTGGAAAGATGTGCACGTATATACAGTCAGCCTGATGACTAATGATCAGAACCAAATACTGCCACTGAACTTAAGCTGTGGTTTTGGACATATGAACTAGGAACAGGCTGCTGGTGTGCTGCTGACGTACTCTGAATGGATGTTAACTGTCAAACCATGTTCAAGTTTATAATGTTGAGCATCTTACAGTTTACAATGTTGTGTATTAAATACAAAATTGTGCCACTTTGTTGATTATTCTTTTTCCTTACAATACTTTTTGTTTCTAAAACATAAATTCTTGAAAGCTGCACTTCTTCAGTATTATAAGCAAAACATTGCCATACACAAAGAAAATAACAGAAAGTTCAAAAGAGAAGCAAAAGGGAAAACTTTCTGCAGTGTCTAGTTGCTAGTACTTACTACCAACCATTAGCAAGCACCAACTTGAGAGTTGAGACAATCAATGGAAAACAAGTAAACGAACAAACTATCATACCTACCTTTTTCTTTGACAGTGTATCAATTGGTGACATGACTTCTGGCTGAACATAGTCCTTTCCTCGGTAGAAGACTATGGTGTCATTTCCAATAACATTAATAGGGACACCACCACTCAGCCGAGCTATCTCATTTGCATACTCCTGGATTTGCCCTGGTTTGCAGGGCTTACAGATGACCTTGACAGTCTCATGTTTCTTCCAGTGCAAATGCATGTTCAGAATTACACCCCCAAATACTCCTCGCCTTCCAATCGGGACATAGTTTGACTTTTTCTGTGAAACTTTCTTCAAATAAAATCTTTCCTCACCATCGAGATCATCTGGTTTGGCGACAGGGCCTTCAGCTTTCGCAACCTCGTACCTCTTTAGCTTCTCAACCAACATAGCTTCTTTTAATTTGGACTGGAAGAGAAACACCACATATTAATAAATCCTCTTCCACGAATCAAAAGAGAAATTAAGCATCTCATCTTCCATTTGCTTCGATGGTATTGAAAGTTTCCATCAAACAAGCTAATTTTAAACGGCAAATACTAAATGATGGCCAATCCTGGTAGAAGACTATATGTCATTTTCAACAATATTAAATGATCAGTCACAGTTTCCAAATGAACCAACCACATCATGACAAAAATAGCTACCAAAAAAGTAACGTAAGGAAAGCACAATACTCATGGGATAGAAATAAAGGACTGATTAAATATTGAGTAGCAATTAGCAAGTCCTATTTATAATATAGAAAAAAGAAAGGAAGTAACAAAGCAAACCAAATGGACAAAAAAGAAAATAAAGCTGAAAATAAAGCTAACTTGTTGATACCTTCTCGATCTTGTATTTGAGACGAGCTTCAGGTGTAGGAAATTTCTGTTTTATTTTTTTCCCCTTGGGTCTGATACGACGTGGATCGTTTTTATTGGCCTCCTTCCTCTTCCTCTTTTCCCGCTTCCTCTGAAGCTTCAAACGCCTCTTTGTCAAAAACCTCCCCTTCTTGGAAGGCTCCACCTCCTCAATCTCAAACTTGGGTTTCCCATCATCAGACAAAACCAGATTCACTGATTCATAGCTAGCCCATCTAACACCCCGTGGATACATAAACGGGTAAAAGGGGCTTAAGCATTTGCTAGGGGAAATAGCATCAGATCTGCAATAACTAGAAGGCAAAATATGAGGAAAACTAAATTCAACTTGTGGATAAAATATGATCAAAACGATAAGTTATGTCTTACGTACTTGCTAGACACTTCTTATGTTTACACTTCAGACAAGAAACTGAGTGACGAAGTAGGCCACACTAGACAAATCATGTCTAGTGATACTACTATGCGAAAAATGCAACCACACTTCATACTGAAATATTATAATTATGAAGCTACATTTTGGTTGCATGAATCAGCTGCAACTGATAAATTCTGACACTTCATGAACAAGCAAATGAGGTATAAATTTTGGCCATGTGGTATGCAGAAAACATAGAATTAAGAATTGAAAGAGATGAGAATCAACAAAACGATTTCACTACCTGTGAGCCGGAGGGGGAGGTGAAAGCAGTATCTTCTGGGATGGATTAAGGAGTGTGAAGGAAGCAGCCAGCTTCCTCAGATTTTGACGCGAGAGGAGACGGGTTGCCATTAATTGTCCATTACTCTTTGACAATGCATCATAAAAAAAATTCAAGACTGGCCTGCAAGAAGAATGAAGAACAATCTCTTACTATCTTCAAGAACACAATCAGAGAGTTGAAGTACAAAAAATGTAATGAATATATTTTCAGCCGTGCGAATTGATAAAAAAAATTGACAGCAAATAGACTTTATTCCACAAATAATAAATAAGTCATTTACAATAAGATGAGAAATAAAGTCTGGGATAGATCTTTCCCAAAACTTCATTTGATTCATACGGCTGGAAATATATTCGTTACATTTCTCAGAGTTTGATTCACGGAAGCAATTAACACAATAAGATTTTGCAAACTCTGAACCCATTTGTTTGCACTCCATAATGACAGCCGCTTCAGGGCCATAGTAAGCTTCCTGTTGGTTAAAAGCCTCAACTGCATTCTATCAGTTTCGATTACCAGTGAGTTACAACCATTTAGCCAATTCTTTGCGCAAGCCAAATACCGTTTTGGACGGCATAAAACCTTCAACTGCGTTCTATCAGATTTGAGGCTGTCGGTTTTACCGTTCGGACCACCGGTTCACAGGTTCGATGTCCGGTTTTTTAAGCCATAAAAAATATATGCTTAGCAATAAATACACCAATCAATAGATAACAAAATTTGTAACAACATGACAGAGTAACCAGCAACCACATGATAATCTCTACTTCATATAAATGATAATTCCTGACTCAAAACTTAGTAACAACTCACAAAGTAACCAGCAAGCAACTGGAAATATAGGAGCAGCAATTAGCAATAGCAAGTGACAGCCACATGATTCAATCTCTCTAATTATTTATCAACAAATACCAATCCAATCTCTCTAATTATTTATCAAAAAAAAATTACCAATCCAATCTCTCTAATTAACAATTACCAAATATCATTCCAAGTTCTCTAACCTCATGAAGACAACAAAGGCAACACAAGTTCAGTAGTTCAGATTTTCAGAAAACTTCACAAGTTCGCATGTTGATTCTTCATGGTAGGATAAACGAATTGGGAGACAGACAAGGGAAGAGAGGGACCAGATCAGATCAGATCATACCAGCGTCGGACGCCCCGGTCAGCTGGTCCTCCTGGCTCCTGCTCGGCTGCTCCCGGTCTGGACTCTGAACTGGAGCGGAGGAGGTGACGAAGGGTGGTGGGAGTTGGACGTGGACCAGGCGGCGGCGGCGGCGGCCCCTCTCCCGAGCCGTCAGCAGAGGCGGCGCCGGACGGCGTGAGGAGGGAGTGGCGGCGCGGGGTGGTGTGGTAGTGCGGCCGCGCGGAGCGGCGAGGGAGGGGCGGGCCTGGCGCCTGGCGGCGAGGGGCGGCGTCGCCGCGCCGGGCAGGGGTGGCGGCGGTGCCCGATACGTATGGTAGGTGAAAAAAAAATGAGGGAATGCTCTCAGTTCAGCCGAATCCAGGCTATTTTTTTATTTTCCATTTGACCCCCTGTTCGCACGTAAACGAGTCCATTTAGGGGCTTTTTTGGAACCTAAAGTCTAAAAGGTGCACGCGCGCTACCTGGGCGAACCGAGCGGCCGTGCGGTGACCACTCGATACATGTGTATCGTACGGCCCGTAGTGCGAGGTGTTATCTGGTCGGCAGAGTTTTGCGGATCGCTCACCCGGCTAGACACGTTGTGTACCTTATCCACTTAACCACCCTCCCACTGCCGCCCTGCCTCCTCCTGCGACACCGGCCGCCACGCCGTTCCTCTTTCGGGCAACGCCCCTCCGCCGCGCTCCTCCTCCTGGCAACGCAGCCGCCGCCCCGCTCCTCCTACCAGCTATGCGCCCGCTGCCGCGCCCCTCTAGTCGCCTCCGGGTGACGTGCGCTGTGCCCAGCATGCGTTAGGCCGGTCCCGTCCTCCTGGCGACGCAAGCCGCGCCCGGTGGGCCTGCTCCTCCCGCTTCCGGTATGTTGCTGGCCGCCTCCTCCTCTTTTGCCTGCACAAGCGCCGTTGTGCCATCCATCTGCAGGTCGTAGCCTCCTTCATCTACAAGCCGATGTTGTCGTGACCATCCATGGCGACGAGTAAATCATGCCGCGGCGGCCTCAGCCAAGTGCTCGTCCACCGCACCAGCGTCCCGAAATAGCCGCCCTTCTGCACCCCGCGCGATGGCCGCATCAATTCGATTTGATGTACATGCATTCCGGTACTTGATTTGACAACCCAGTCTCCGTTGATTTTTGGTGCTTCTCTATCAGCACGGCACAGTGTTGCCTGCATTTTTACGATTGTAAGGGCATTCTTGTCCTTAAGTAGTTTTGGTGATTGATGACAATGCCTTTGCGGACTAATCATGTGTATTAAGCTTTTTTAGATACATCTGCGGGGTATCACAAGACGATTTGATGCCCCTTGAAGATTATTGAAGACGGCGTTTCTCTACGGTTAGGTTCGGTGGAGTTGAGTCGTAGGAGAGCCGTACTATTAAGAGGGGGTCCGCTTTGGAAAGGTTTGGGTGGAATCTCACGTACACATTTCCTTTTGCACCGCCTTTCCTCGAGCTCCTTGGAGTGTTCCTCCGTCTCACCTTGTCTCTGCGATATGAAGGCCTCCACCTTGCTCTTCTCAGGCTAGCGGTAGTACTGCTTCTCTGAGCGGTACTACCGCAGGAGCCAGCGGTAGTACCGGGCTCTGGCACGGTAGTACCGCTCCTCTAGAGCGGTAGTACCGCGAGCTCTGGTCTGGCACCACTGCTCTAGCGGTGGTAGGCGCGGATGTAATTTTTTACATCCGCACTCCACGCGGTAGTACGGTGCTGCGGTGCGGTAGTACCGTGGCGCCAGGCCAGGTTCAGTAGCAAGTGCGGAGGTAGGGGCGGATGTAATTTTTTACATCCGCACCTTTCACGGTAGTACCGCACCCGTGGTCGCGGTAGTTCCGTGTCAGATTTCTGCACGACAATTTCTCAGCGGAGGTAGTCACGGATGTAATTTTTTACATCTGTGCCTACCGGGCCTGGACTGCGGCTGTCTTGCGGTAGTACCGCATGGGGCCGCGGTAGTACCGCTCCTGCGGATCTACCGCGCCCTGTTAGTGCTCCTTTTGTCAGGTCTGGTCTCTGTCATGCCCACGGTAGTACCGCGGTCCGCCGTGGTAGTACTGTAGGCCCGTGCGGTAGTACCGCGCCTGTGGTGCGGTAGTTCCGTGGGTCGCGGGCTGAGTGGTGGGTAACGGTTGGAATTGTCCCCCCACTATAAAAGGGGGTCTTCTTCTCCAAGAAGACTCACCTCTTCCAACCCTAATCTCCATTGTTGCTCCAAGCTCCATTTTCGCCCGATCTCTCTCCCTAGCCAATCAAACTTGTTGATTTACTCGGGATTGGTTGAGAAGGCCCCGATCTACACTTCCACCAAGAGAAATTTGATTCCCCCACTAATCCCTAGCGGATCTTGTTACTCTAGGGTGTTTGGGCACCCTAGACGGTTGAGGTCAACGTGAAGCCATAGTCCATTGTGGTGAAGCTTCGTGGTGGTGTTGGGAGCCTCCAATTAAGTTGTGGAGATTTCCCCAACCTTATTTGTAAAGGTTCGGTTGCCGTCTTCAAGGGCACCAATAGTGGAATCACGGCATCTCGCATTGTGTGAGGGTGTGAGGAGAATACGGTGGCCTTAGTGGCTTCTTGAGGAGCATTGTGCCTCCACACCGCTCTAACGGAGACGTACTTCCCCTCAAAAGGAAGGAACTTTGGTAACACATCCTCGTCTCCACCAGCTCCACTCTTGGTTATCTCATCCCTTTACTTATGCAAGCTTACTTGTGTTTTATTCATTGCTTGCTTGTGTGCTTGTGATTGTTGCATCATATAGGTTGTCCACCTAGTTGCATATCTAGACAACCTACTTTGAAGCAAAGTTTAATTTGTTAAAGAAAATCTAAAAATTGTTAGTTGCCTATTCACCCCCCTCTAGTCAACCATATCGATCCTTTCAATTGGTATCAGAGCCTCGTCTCTTTTTAAGGACTTTACCATCCGAAGAGTATGGTTGACGTCGTAGACGATGTGGGAGAGCACTCCGGTGCGAATCCGATATCGTCTACGGGAGATGGGGGTAACTCGATCTCACATGAGGAATTCAATGTGGCGTTGGACACATTGAAAACCTCCATGACGACCGAGGTCAAGGACATGTTTAAGGAATTCTTAGAAGGGCTTAAACTTTCCACCGCGCCCGTGAAAGTTGGTGATTTCGCCAACACGGAGACGGATGCTAACCCTGACAAGGGGGAAGCTACTAGTGAGAAAGCTCCTATGTCTAGTGGTAAAAATGGCACCGGCATCTTTGCCCATGTGCAACCTCCTCCCGTGTATGGTGGACCGATTTCGTCTACTCATTTGAATCATGCCGGTCCTCCCCCCAAGATTGATAAAAAGGAGGATTTTGATTCTTGGGTCTATCGTTTTAAGCGTCATTTAAATCATGTGAACACTAACCTTTGGAGAATCATTGAAGAAGGTTTTTATCCGCAAGATCGGAGCAACTTCACTCCTAGAGAAGCCGTGGATGATCAATTTAACGAGAATGCTCTCTTCATCATCCAAGAAGCAATCCTTTCCGAAGACCTCCCGCATCTCCGGCCCTACTCATTGGCCAAAGATGCTTGGCTCAAAGTGGTTTCCCTCTATCGGGGAAGCGCAAGCATTCAACGGTCCAATTATGAAGTGGTTCAAGATGAAGCCGACGAGTTTGCAATGAAAGAAGATGAAGAACCTCGTGAACTTTATCGGAGAGTCACCAAACTCGCCGTCTCTCTTCGGGATCATGGAAGCAAGGACACGGATGACAATTGGATCAAGAGCAAATTCCTCAAGGCAATGATGCCCTACCACAAGGCCATGTCCTCCGTCATCCGTCAAAGGCCGGACTTCCACACCTTGTCCTCAAGTGATGTATTGGATGAGTTTGTGGCTATGAGCATATTGGACAAGACCGCCGACAATGCAGTGCTTCACTCCCAAAGAGCAAAGA